TTTTTTTTTTTTTTTTTGAAAAACTTTTTTTCCCCAGAATTTTTTTTCCGGCCGGTCAACTGCCGTTGACTGCGGTCTCCGGCGTTGACTTTTTTTTTTTTTTTTTTTTGTTTTTTCTTAAAAAAATTATTTTAATTAATATTACTGTCATGGCTGCTAAATTACTGTCTCCGGCAGTTATTTAACTGTCGGAAACAGTAATTTAACTGTAAATTGATTTTTTTTTTCTTCAAAAATATTTTAATTAATATTATTGTCTTTGTTAGTAAATTACTGTCTCCAGCAGTTATTTAACTATCGGAGACAGTAATTTAACTGTTAATTTATTTTTGAAAAAAATATTTTAATTAATATTACTGTATTCGTTGCTAAATTACTGTCTCCAACAGTTATTTAATTGTTGGAGACAGTAATTTAACTGTTAATTGACTTTTTTTATTCTTAAAAAAAATATTTTTAATTAATATTACTGTATTCGTTGCTAAATTACTGTCTCCAGAAGTTATTTAACTGTCGAAGACAATAATTTAACTGTTAATTGAATTTTTTTTTTAAATCTTTTTTCTTAAAAAAATTATTTTAAGAACACAGTTGATGCCATTTGATGAGTGACACGTTGAGAGGTTAATGGAGTTGATATAAGATATGCCTATCCGTCTCTCTCTTGCATTAACTTTCACTGTTGAGTATTTTTATTCTCGCTTTCATTTTTTTTTTTATCTTTATCTCTAAATAAAAGACACAAGGCGATTAGAAAAGTCATCGCTTTTACTTCTTTTTTCGAGGGATATTAGGATAATTGTAAATATATTATTTATTTCGTCAAAAGTAACACCATAAGAGGCCTGTGTAAGAAGACAATGTACCTTAGGGGGATTTTCATAATTATACAGATATAGTGGGATTTTCGTAATTAGACTTTACTTCAAGAAGGTTTTTGTAATTTACACTTCATTTTTCCTTTCAAAACATGGCTCCTTAGTCAAGGCCAATTTTGTTTTTTTTGGACATTTGGGCCCATGTGACAAGTAAGTTGTCGGTCAATTAGCTATTTAAAGCCACTTTTACACTTAAATTATGACATTTAGGAGGTGTTTGCAAAAACTTATTTAAAAGCAGAACTTAGTGATTATAAGTTGTTTGACGGTATTTGCATATATGCTGGAAAATAAACTTAAATAGAAAATGCAGGCCTAAGGATGCTTTTCAATAAATAGCTTAAAGAAGCTTATTTAAAGAGAAGCAAAATAATAGAATTCAATTTAACATTTAAAATGTCAAATTATATAATTCATAAACTGAAAGTACTTGAGTTAATTTGTTGTGGTGGAGAAGAAATAAATTGTGTTATACAATAAAGAGCGATATACATCACCCCCAAACTTGAACTTTTGCTTGTCCTCAAGCAAAATCTAATCGTAAGCAAAAAAACTCAACTACCGCATCTCATCACATAGATTAATGACCAACTTCATGTTTTCAGAATTTGTAATTATAATGAAAATTCTTAGGCATTCTCAAGCTCAAAATTCAAAAGCACTTAGTCACTTACCATAGCCAAAAACTATAAATCATGCAATTGCTTCAAGCATCCAATATTTGTAAATTAAAGATAGAAAAAAGTTATGCTTACATGTATATGTTTGACTCCAAATACTCACCAAAATACTCTACTCTACTAATATCGAACATTAAGCTATTGGGATCATAGGGGCTTTTTGGCTTTCAATTGTTAGGCTATTTGGTTCGGGGTAGGAAATATGGGTATATGTGGCTATTATTCTTGAATTGAGGTGATTACGCCAAAATTTGAAAGATAGGCGTTTGAAACAATGAATTCACCTCTAAGGACTTTAAGAAACTCATTCTTAAGAGTTCAAAAGTCTCCACTTTTGCTCTTAAGACAATGGATCGAGCTTTCAAAATAATTCAACAACTAGTCATTACTTCTCCCTTCTAGTCTCTTCTTCTTCTTTTTCTCTTTTCTTTTTCTCTCTTTTTTTTTTTTTCCTTTTGTCTTTTTTTTTTCCGAAGAAGAAGGACCTTATAAATTTTTTCGACCGAACTCCAAGGGTTAATTTTTCAAAAATCTCCACTTTTCTACCTTACACACATTGGCTAAAAGAAAGAACACCTTTTCTCCGAGGCTCAAATCAAGGTTCTAATGATAATTTCGATAAAAAGGTCGGCTTGAAAGGCTCAAACGGTTCAAAGAAGGCCCAAATCATATCCCAAATCACTCACTACTCAATACTTCGTATCATAAATTTCCTAAGGTGAGTTTTAAAACCGAACAAAGCATGATTTAGCACAAATAAATTCCAAATTTAATATACAAAACATTCAACCAAAGCAATGCACAAGGTGTGATTCCTAGCAATAATTCGCTTCTAAGTTCCGTTGAATCGAAAGCTAAACAAACTTTAATCCTTATCACACAAAACAAGCAATCTCATCATCAAACATTGATCATCTCTCATCATTATAACTCATCGATGCATTCGGCTCAAGCAATTGTTTTTTTTTTTTTTTTATTCCGAAAAAACGATAAAAGCAATAAAAATAAATAAAACCTAATGCATGAAAACTAAAACAAATGAGCACAAAAAAACATGTTTTTTTTCACCCCCAAACTTAAAATTTTCGTTGCCCTCAACGAAATTAGCACAAAGTTTAAGGATAGAAAACACCTGATTTAGTCGGAATCGTTGTCTTCGGGGTGTGAAAATTTGTGGGAAAGAAATCTGATTTTCCTCTTGCGAAGATGTCCTCTATGTCTCTCGGATGACTGTCCCGATCGCAATTCCGACCTTAAAAATAAGAAATCAAATAAATTAATTAGAATGCATGCCTATGAAAAAAAAAAAAACATAAAATTAAAGAAAAATATGAAAACAGTAAAGCTCGGGTTGCCTCCCGAGAAACGTTAAATTTTAAGTCTTCAGCCAGACTTTGCTTCTTGAAATTGTTATGTCCAATCCAAAGCCTTGTAGATTGCGCATCCATCCATGAGCTCTATCACTTCAATTGCAACCAAGGCATGGATAGCACTGCAATATGTCACGGTCCATCTTAGCTTGTAGTCTTTTTTGGTTGTAATCAATCGGTACGAAGCCAAGATGGCATCTTCATCACCCGCTCCCTCAAATCGGTATACAAAAATCTCCAGTCTGCGTATAACCTCCACCTCAAAAATATTAGTCTTCTCATCAACCACTATTGATGCCTTCAAATCCACATTTAGATCAACGACAGAGTCCACAACTAGAATATCTTCAATCATTACATCCATCTCCTTCTTCTCTTGTTCTGAGGCATCTTCGTGGTTTAGCTCGATTGCCTTCTCAGATTCATCATGCTCAAGTGTCTTCGTAATTTCTATTTCTCTCACATCGACACTATTTTCCGGACATAGAAAATTTTTCTCACCGCAGGCTTCACCCGAATTTTCTTTGATATAACCATTGCCGATTTCGTCTGGAATGTTTTCAAGAGATTCAGATTTTAATTTGAGCGTCATCTCTTCCAGTTGTATCTCCATGTTTTGAAATGATGCTTGAGTGGACTTCATGAATTCGATAATGAGGGATACCAAATCAACTTGTTCATCAGTGGTCTGCTGCTGCTGCATTGGATAATAGTTTTGAAAATCATCAAATTGTGACTCTCTATGTTGAAACTCGTTCAAATCTTGGTCTTGAAAGCTTTGCTCGTATGTGTTGTTGGTGTAAGTGTTGCAATAACCTCCGTTGGTAATTTCGTCGAAATTCGTCGCTGTTGGTGATACCCAACATTGATCGGAATAATGATTTCCACCACATGCTGAACAAAACGGAGGCATATCATAGGTGTTTTGGAGGTATTCGTCCGATGGAAGCCATTCATATCCCGTTTGAGGTGCCCGAACATTGTAACCAGACATGAAACAAAAACAACAAAAAAAAAAATAAAAAAAAAATAAAAATTAAATGGCTGAAGTAAGAAAAATTGCTCAAATTTGATATTAGAATAAATAGATAATTTAGCCGTATTCCCCGGCAACGGCGCCAAAAACTTGTTGGGCGCTAAATACCTAACACGCAAGTGCACGTATCGCAAACAAGTAGTAAAAGTGGACTCGTGAGAGTCGGATGTCGATCCCACAGGCAATACTCAAATTATCTAATCCTAAGTACCAAATTCTAACAATTATGATTTTTATCCAGCCTACGCAGGGTTGTCAAATTTAATCAACTAAATAAATTAAACTAATTAGGAAAGCAAATAAACAAGAGAGAATATCAATATAAAAACGGATCTAGGATTTTATCTTCCCCCTATGCAAGAATTGCTCACCCAAAACCCCTCAATTAAAAAATATATGATTCATGATTGTTAACCCGAGACACTAATTTACTCATAACCCGCTGTCGCGTGTATTATGAGTCTATTATTCATAAACGATTCACTATATGTCTATGCAAACCAATTATAAATAAAGCATTAACTAACAAGTCTCGTAAATGGCTACCTAAGGTGATAACTGTATGCAGGGGCGAGTCCACCCAAGGGCTAGGGTGGACTCAAGCCCCCCCTCACTTCCAAAACTTTCTCTATATATATATATATATATATATATATATATATATATATATATATATATATATATATATATATATATATATATATATATATATATATATATATATATATATATATATATATATATATATATATATATATATATATATATATATATATATATATATATATATATATATATATATATATATATATATATATATATATATATAAAATACTTTTTATTTTATTTTTTAACCTACCAAATTATATTATTTTTTCACTTATTTTTACTTCACTTAAGCCCATTTATTCAAAGTCGCCTCACTTCTCAAAGCCCCCTTTCACGTCTGACTTGTCCTCGTCTTCTATTTCCCAACTAAATTCTCGTTCTTTGAAAAAAAAAAAAAAAAACTTTGTTCTATCGCATAGTCGCACTTATGGCGGTTAAATTGCTACCCACCGGCGATCAATTAACGTTTGACGTCTTCTCTTTTATCTTACTTTTCATAATGAATATTAATTCGAAGTCCATTGTGTATTTTTTTTATAATCGACTTGATATTCATGTTTGTTAGATTTTTATAGCAATTTAGCTTTCGCGATTTGTTTTGGTATTATCTTCTGAAAATGCAGGAAAAAAAAAAATGCATATCAAATTTTCATGTTAAATTTCTTTGATAGCAAAAAAAATTTCGGGGGCTCTGCCCCCGAACCCCCGATGTGTTTAAGCCCCCCCTCACGATAATTTCTGGCCTCGCCACTGACTGTATGTCTACGACACCACATGCAATTGACACACTCATCCGGTGAAAACTACTCGAAGGCTCTTCTACCTACCGTCTAATTATCAAAATAGCTCTATCGAGTCAATGCGAATAATCACAGATAAAGCACATAAATTGATCAAGTTCATGCACTAACAATCATAACAAGTAGAAGAAATAATCATAAATTCATAATTGCATAATCTCAAGAAAACGGGATCACCATCCCCACATAGGGTTCCAATAAAATCCTAGATTAAAAGCTTAGCTACTCGTAATTCTTATGATAAACAAAATAGAATAAATAAAATAAATAAGAAAAACTATGCTTGAGTCTTCGTTGATCTTCGTTCTCCGCGTTTTGTGATGTAAAATTTCGTCCTTATGGTGTAGAGACTTGTTGCTTTTATAGGCTTTTCTTGATAAGGAAGTAGTGGAAACCTAATAGGAATCAATTTCCGTCACTTTCCCCCACTAGGATTTGTTCGTCGATTTGTGCCATGTTGGAGTCCTAATTTTGGAATATTGTGTAAATAAGAATTGTAGCCCTTTAAATTAGCTTTCCAATGTCGTCAAAATCACCTAATTCGGAGTTCTTATGAGAGAGATATGCTCGAAATGGTGGACACTGTCAAAGCTGTGGCGGGATTCCTTCTTCCAATTTGATTTGTTTCCTTATTTGCAACTTTTTTTCCTTTCTTTTTGATCTTTTTTCCTTCATGGACACCTAATTCTCGCTTTTCACCTATAAAACACAAAATCAATTAATTAAAGCACAAATATAATTAAATCTAAACAAAAGATCCACGTAAAGTAAACGCATTGAGTGTAATATCTACACTCAACACGGTGCCAATGTGTTAGGCAACGCCAACGGCACAGCCGCCGGCGTGGCGCCTCTGGCTCACTTGGCCATTTACAAAGTCTGCTCCTCCTCCTCAGATGGCTGCTTCGAGAGCGACATACTGGCGGCGATGGATGCGGTGATTGACGATGGCGTGGACGTAATTTCGATCTCTTCCGGCGGACGTTCCACGCGCTTTTACGAGGATAACCTCGCGCTCGGAGCGTTCAGCGCGGTGCAGAAGGGTATTTCGGTCATTTGCTCTGCCGGGAACGACGGCCCTGCTCATACCACTTTAGTGAACGGAGCCCCGTGGATTCTAACAGTCGGCGCCAGCACAACAGACAGGAGCCTGAGGGGAACAGCTGTGTTAGGGAACAATGTAGAATTTAACGGCGAATCGGTGTTTCCGCTCGATTCTCCGCCTCTGCCGCCACAACTACCTCTGCTTTACCCCGGAATGAACGGCGTTTTGGCTGCTAGTCTCTGCGATGCAGAGTCGCTAAACGACACGAGTATTGTCAAAGGAAAGATTGTTTTGTGTCGTATCGAGTCGACAAGAAGTAGACGAACTGAACAGGGTCAACGGGTGAAAGATGCCGGTGGGACCGCCATGATTCTGATGAACATGGACTATCAGGGATTCACCACATCCACGGACGTTTACGCCATTCCGGCAACAAATGTGAACTACGAAGATGGATTAACGATCTTGTCGTATTTGAATTCGACATCTACTCCAACAGCAACAATCGAGTTCAAAGGAACAATAACCGGCGATAGAAAATCCCCGACGGTGGCTGACTTTTCTGCCAGGGGACCGAATTACGAAAGCCAGGGAATCCTAAAGCCGGATGTCGTAGGCCCGGGAGTTAACATTCTTGCAGCTTGGCCGAATCTTGCCGCAAATAATAACACGAGAAGTAACTATTTCGAAATGATCTCGGGTACTTCGGTGTCGTGCCCTCACCTGAGCGGCGTGGCGGCATTGATCAAGAGCGCGCATCCCGATTGGTCGCCCGCCGCCATCAAATCGGCGATCATGACTTCTGCTGACGTCGTGGATCGCGAGAACCACCCGATAATGGACGAAGAGCATCTCCCGGCCGATGCGTTCGCTATCGGTGCGGGGTATGTCAACCCTGCAAGGGCGAGCGATCCGGGGCTTATTTACGATATCGCCCCTGACGACTATATCCCTTACTTGTGCGGCTTGAATTACACGAGTAGGAAGGTGAGCAAGATCTTGCTACGTAGAGCGCATTGCTCGGCGGTGCCGATAATTCACGAAGGGCAGCTGAATTATCCTTCGTTTGCAATTCGGTTACGATCGCCTAGTCAGACATTTACGAGGACGGTTACTAATGTTGGAGTGGCTGTTTCGAGTTACAACGTTGAGGATGTTGCGCCACATGGCATTAGCATGGTTGTGACGCCCGAGACACTTAATTTCACCCGGTTGAACGAGAAATCGACATACGAAGTCAGTTTCCGGGGATCGGAATATGTCGGCGACACGTTTGATTCTCGTCAGGGGTATATTCTCTGGAAATCGGCTAAGCATTCGGTTAGGATCCCAATTGCTGCTTTCCATCTTTGAGAGGAGAGGTATTTGAGAAGTACTGATAATACTATTTGTTGGATGATATTTCAAGTCAATGCATCTTGGAATAAAATCTGAATATATATATATTTGGCATCATAATGGAGTTTTCATCGTATAAATTTGATTGTTTCAAATTCATTTTGTGCTTTTGTAGATCAAAATCTTATATTGTGAGTACATAATTGGAAAAAATAACGAAAATCCCTCATTTTGGAATTGCCCGGAGGTATGTCCAATCTTTTAAGAAAATTAGTGATAACCCTATTCACTATGTTTTGGTGAAATTCTAGATTAAACTTACTGTAAAAACAACTATACAGTTGCGTATTGTTTTCATTAGCAGACTATTAGAATAAGGGATGTGATGAATGTCCTTTGAACTTCAATAATACTGTTACGACTTCAAACATGATTTTAATCATTTTTAATTCCAAATTTTGCAAAACCCGAAAAATAGAATTTGTATTATTATGCGTTAGTTTTCTAATTCAACTTGAATCATTAAAATTGGATGTCGGGCGAGAAAGATATTGCCCACAACTTTGATGTATTGACTATTGAGGTATCTAAAATTCAAAGTGTGACTCATTCATGCATAACTTTGTCACACGGCATCCAATCTAACGGATTTAAGTTGGATTAGAAAGCTAACCCAAAGGACTATAGTTTTCGTGTTTCGAATTTTGCCAAAATTAACAATTAGAAATATGTCAAAATCAAGTTCGAAGTCAAACCGATATTAATAAAATTGAAACGACATTTGACATTTCGGTTAGAATAATATAGTTGACCAAAGTATTAACTTTCTGTTTTATTATGGGGTCCATTTGATATCCTCAGTTTCTCAGTAATTAACTAGGAATAAACTCAAATATAAATCATCCTTGTGGATACCTTCTGAAGAGACGAAAGTACTATACTGTCCTTAAATGTAATTTTTGTCCAAACTGCATTTAGTATTTTTGGTCATGCGTTTAGTATTTATGGTCATGCATCATTTAGCATTTTCAATGATTTATTTATTTTTTTTAAAATTATTTTTAATTCGATATGTTTCCTGTACTGAAAACGAAAATGACTACATGTAACTGTAGTAAACTATAGTCATTCGTAGTGATGTTCTTTATTTTTACCCCAAATTTTTAGTCGACCAATTATGTATACACAAGAATATTAGATTATACAAAAGACATTCATAAACATCAACAAAAATTCACAATTTCAATATTTATATTATAAATCAACTCATAAGCAATAAATACAAATCGAAATACACAAATGCATGCATATGTTAATACAAATCGAAATACACAAATGCATGCATATGTTAGTACATGTGACTATATGTAACTCGTAATGTATAGTAATGTGTAGATGTATACAGTCTGTAGAACACTGTAACTTGAAGCAAATGTAACTTCAACCAAATTTTTTGGCACATTCACGGAGAGAATTAATGGCTTCCATTAAGTTCCAATTGCAAAATCAAAACGCCAAAAAATGTTTTAGTGCAAATTAAAAGAAAATGAAGAAACATCAAAACACTACAAAAATGACAAACACTACGAGATCGAGAGAGAGAGAGAGAGAGAGAGAGAGAGAGAGAGAGAGAGAGAGAGAGAGAGAGAGAGAGAGAGAGAGAAAGAGAGAGAGAGAGAGAGAGAGAGAGAGAGAGAGAGAGAGAGAGAGGTCATAGCTGCGAAATGCTATGAGTTTAGACCAAACCGCCAATGACTCCTCACCCCAAGTGTCTCCTACTAAAACCCTAGTCGCCCCTAACCACCCAAGGTTCCGCGCTTACAATGAAAAAAATTATTAGTAATAATTATGTCAATAAACAAATATGAACAAAATCGCCATCAAAATATATATCTCGACGAGAGTAATCCAACGGTGGGTATCGTCAAATTCCGACTGTCGAAACACAAATTACACTTCCGGCAAGACCCACCGTCGTCGAAATACGCATCGACTGTAATACGATTGCAGACACAGGTCCAAAGATCCAAATTGTACGAAATCACCACCAAAAGAAAGATCTCGATAAGGGAAATCCACGGTAGTTAAACCAACGATTCTGACCACCAGAGAGAGAGTTATGACTCCGGGAAGCAATATCGCCCGTTGGAAACCTATGAAGGCAAAAAATTGGATCTGAGAGTGAGAAAGGAAGAGAGAGACAGTTGTAAGTTGACTAGGGTTCAAAACATATTTTAAAAGGGCATTTTAGGTACTTCAAAGGGGCGAGCGGGTATCTCAAATTAATATCAAATGGGAGGAGGTATGCACCAGGATGTAATATCATTTGTTGTTAGTTCAATGTTTTTTTCCATATGAGGGGTCTAGGAGTGGTAAACGAGCCGAGTTGACTCGTGAGCTCCATGAGCCGGCTAAAAAAAAGCTCGAACTTGGACTCGAGTTTTTCAAGCTCGAGCTCGAGCTTTCTGACGAGCTGAGCTCGAGCCAGTTTTTAGTTGTTCGTGAGCTCACGAGCCGGCTTGCTAGCCTTATTTAATATTTTTATTTTTTATATTTTATTTTTTATTTAAATAATGTATAATAATATAAATATTATAGAAATAAATCTAAATCTTAAAAGATATATATAATTACAATATATTGTTTATTTTGTTAATTTTTTTAAAAAATGTTTAATAATAATAAAAAACTAATTAAAAAATATTTAAAAAAAACACCAAAATGAGCTTGGGCTCGAGCTCGAACTCGAGCCAAAAAAGAACGAACTCGGCGAGCTCGAGCTCAACAAAATAGACTCGAGCTCAAGCTCGAGCCTGCCAAAAGAGGCGAGCTCGGCTCGTTCACACCCATAGGGAGGTCAATCAAATAATCCATTTATGATATTATCGAATTCCTCACTAGAGTAATGGACTATAAAATCGGTACCGATTCTATTTTGAATTCTTTAATATATCAAGCTGTTTATATTTATAAATGACTAGTTTATTCTGATGTCGTTATCGTGATTTGAATATTTTGCCAAAATATTTCTGCACTCTGATTGTTATGTCGAACCTATACTTACAAATGTTTTATGCTAGTGTGGCACGTAGAATAGACTCCTACTTTAAAAAGGTATTTCAAGATACTAAAAAAATGTTCGACTAAAATTCTTCAAGCAAATTTTAAAAAATTACAAGTGTTCTAAATATTCAAGTATAGTTTTGAATCGCAAAGTTGTGATTCATTAAGTTTCAAAGAGATCCTTTACAAAATGCTTCCGCTAAATAAAATGAAATCACGATAAATTGGTTTGATTTATTGCATATTTAAGAGGGGGTGCTACAGAAAATGTTTGAGAATAAATATATAAATAAATATGTATTGAAAACGATTATGTTAAAACACGTTTTTATGCTTAGTAGCATTGTTTAAGTGGAAATTGTAATTATGATATAAAGTGAAGAGCATTCTAGACATTTCAGGACGGTTAGAAAGCTAACTGTAAATGAAAGTTAAAAGATGGATTGCAGTGTCCAAAGTATACTACAGGGAACTGAGCGTATATGAAACTAGCAAAGAGGATTTCCGAGTAAAAATCCCTTAAATTTATGATTATCATAAGATAATTTCCATTTCTCAAGTATATTCTAAGAATATTAGTCATGTTTCAATTGCGTTTTATTTTACATAAAAGAAAATTTATTATGTAAATATAATATATAAAAAGGTAAGACACAAAAAATGATATCATATTTGTGGAACATATGTAATAAATATGATGTAATAATTAATTCAAAACTACTTTATATATGCTCAATTTAAAACGAGAAAAACAATTTTCTACACATGCTTATAATATGTCACTGGAAAGCTCTTCAAATCTAGTTTAAGACGGAGTGAATTTTGTCTAAAAAAATATTATGTAGAAAGAATCACAATAAGAAGAAAATCGACGATCACATTGTGTAAATAGTTGAACATATGAAAAGACACTTGATATCAATATTGTATAACTATATTAATTTGGTATTTATTGTTATTACACAATTGACCATAACTAATTGGCGGTGTAAGTTAGTTGAAAGGAATATAATAACAAATACGAAAATGTGAAGAAACAAAAAACATTCGTACTTTTATAGTTGGTAGAGGTGGTAGAGATATAGATAATTGCATATATATATATATATATACAAACCAAAACCAGTTCCACCAAAAAACTCATCCCTTATCTTTTCTCGACAATACCCCTGAATATGATTTATATTAATTTCATTCATAAAACACTAACTTAATCAATATTGCACATTGACCCTCAATTTTAACGAATGTCTCACATTAACCCCGTTTTCACATTTTTCTTGATTTTTTTTTCATAAAAAGTAGGTTTTTTTTGTGGTATCCGGTGTTAACCACTGGTCTCTAGCATTCACATTTTTTAAAATCTTCTATTGATTTTTTTTCTTCCAATATTTTTCCTGCGAATATCCAGTAGTTGACTTTTTTTTTATAATATTTTTTTCTAAATGTTTTTTTTATAACTATTTTTTTCGCGGTTATATAACTTGTGTTCACGCCTTCACGGTAATCTTATTGTGTTAACAATATTAACGCTTTGAGTTAATAAAATATTATTGCTTAAGACAGTAATATTCAAGTCCAACACCATAATATCGACTACGTTGAATCCGTAATCAACTACGTTATAGTAATAGTTTAAGGTTAATCAACTACGTCTTAGTAGTTAATTAAGGTTAATCGATGATATTTTTAATTTATTATTGGATTTTTGTTTATTAGTTCCTTATTAGGCACTTGTAGTTGGACATGAGGACACAATATAGGAGAATTAGGTTTTGGAGAAAAGAGAGAATGATATCTCTTACGTATATTAATCATATATATAGGTACATGTGGGAAACCCTAACCTATTACACAAGGTAACCTATTACACAAGGTAACTAGAATAAATAATAATAATAATAATAATAATACTAATAATAATAATAATAATAATAATAATAATAATAATA